TCATATATTTTGTCGAGCTAACAAGAGAACGAAATGTAATTACATCCATTACAGGATAATAAATCTCTTTATAGTCAATGCCAAGTCCTTACGAAACCCTTGTTTCACAATTCTTGCTTTCTATCTTATAATCTCATCTTTCTTATTTTATTTTCATAAAAATACTCATTTTTATTGCACTAGCTTAATATCTTCAAGTGTTTTGACCATGAGTTTAAAAACTACTCATTTGTAAGAGAGCATAATTTTGTTTGAATTGCTTTTTTCATTTAGGTCACTCATTTCTATGTCGATATTCTTTAATAAATTTAAGCTTAAGATCCTTATTTTCATTAAAAATATCAATTGCAACATTATATGTTAAAATTGTATTGATAAATGCTTCTTTTCGATCCTATTTTCTCCATATATTGATATAATTTATCAAAATCTCTTATTTGTTTTCAAACATTTGGACTTCTTCGAAAGCTTATTATTAGAAATATCTTAGATTGTTTCATGAATATTTGCATCATTTATATTTTTATCTTAATTATTTATCCTATTCTTTTGGGGATTTTTATTTTTAGAATCGATCGATCTTCTATGCTTCGAGTGTGCTTTAGATTCATTTGCTATAACATTAATAGATTGTCCTTTTAGGACATCAATTCTAATAGTAGCATTCTCAGCAAGGACATGCATTTTAATTACTTATTTAGGATTTGAGAATGCATCCGGTTATTGGTTTGCAATGCCTTGTAAATGAATTATTTTTTGAACTTCTAGTTCATATTATTTTATACGAGGATCAAGACGATATAAGATATAGTAATTTATGTAATATATATTTTTTAATATTTTTAACTACTTATTTTTTTATTCTCTCTCGCTAATGTTGAAAAAACTATTTCATCAAAATGATAGTCGATAAATTGAGCTATAAAAATATAACTTATTCATGGTTCAAGATATTGAATTATCGAAGAGGATTCAAATCCAACATACGCTTTCAATCTCTTTTAAGTTCCTATTTTAGTTCGTTATGGAAGAGCATTATGGATACGCTATAATGCTAAAAATTCTTAAATAAGAAATATTTGACTCATGACCATAAACCGATTGAAGGGAGGTGAATTTCTAATAACTTATAGGTTTGATGCGAATAAGTGTAACAACATGTAAGATTACATGTCGCCTAACATAAACAGAGAGTTTTGTCTTTAAATAATGGTTTAGCTATCAATTGAAGCCTTTTGATAAATAATTTTGCTAAACCTTTTTTAGTATGAACATGAGCAACAAAATGTTCAACCTTTATTCTAGTAGCCAATCAATAATCATTTAATGCTTAGAAGATAAATTCATCGACATTATCAAGGTGAATAATTTTAATGGAATAATTTACAAATTATGCTCGTAATTGAATTATTTAGGTCGACAATCTTGAAAATGTTAGGTTTCGAGTAAATAATAAAGATACATGTGATCATTTTATAGATGCATCTATTAAAACCATAAAATATTTAAGTGATCCATATGATGGATGAATCGATCCATATATATTATCTTAAATATGTTCTAAAAATATTGAAGATTCAATCTCAATTTTACTTTGTGATGACTTAATAATCAATTTTCCTTAAGAACATGCATAATATAAAAATTCATTACATTGAAAATTTTTTTGGCTTTTCAACGGATGTCCATATGAATTTTTAATAATTTTTTGCATCATGAAAAACCTAAAATAACACAATTGGTTATGTCACATAATAAAAGTATTTGAAGTAGTAAACTTCGATTTACTATAGCATTTGTTTCAATTATTTCAATGTCTATAATAAAAACTAGAAGAGAAAGCGAATAATTTCTCCAACATATATTTTTTATTCAATTTAATTGTAATATTTAAGTATTTAATATTTTTCACATTTATCGTTATAATATGATGTCTATTTAGACAAATATCTTTAAAACTCAATAAATTTCTATAAGACTTTAGAGAGAATAATGCATCATTTATAATAACATTTATCCTTTCAGTATAATAATATATTTACCCTTCTATAGCCTTTAAGTTATGTCACTTTAAGTAATAATATACTCACTCTTCCGGAGACCTTAAAAGTTATCTCTTCAAATAATAATATATTTTCTCTTCTACAACCTAAAAAATTTATCTCTTCAAGTAATAATATTATTACTCTTTCGCAGCTTTCGATAGATCGATATTATCATATATAACATTAACATAAAATAAATAAATAAATTCTTCATAAACATAAATAAATAAATTTATATCTATTTCTATGCAATAAAAATTATAAGAAAATATAAAATATCTTATTTATAAATAGAAAAACTAACACGTTATTAACTTCAATTACATCCATTTTGATATATAAAATTGACCTCCGTATTTAAGTCTTTTTTTTTTTTCAACGAGACTTGATAGAGCTCGGTAAGATCCTTTGGTGTATGATAGCTACGCGACTAATATCCATTCATGCCACATCTATAATATTCATTTTCAAAATATTGACTCGTATCTTCTTCTTTTTTTCATAGTTATCCACTTCCCGTGGTGATATGTATTATTATGGTCATCACAATTATCATGATTATGGTCATTACAATTATAAAGATAATTTTCGACCATGTTCATGGCTATGATCACATCTTAGTCCATACCCAAAATTATTATAAATTATCACATTCACTTCGAGAGAATGGAGTAAATCTCATCCAATTAGAGATAACAACTTCAAATAATTCTTGCTCAAAATCTAGTTGAACGAAAATTTATTCTTTTTCATCAATAGCTTGTTATTTTATTTAACCACGAGCAAGTATAAAATCGATTCATAATATTTCTTAAACTCTTTTTCTCGATATGCTACTACATGAGCATATTCAAGACATAAAAAATAGAGAATATTTACTCAAGCATCAAGTACTCATAATCAATAATGCTTGCTCAAAATGTCAAGGGTCACAAAATTAAGTTTTGTGAGGTTTAATATCATACAAATTCTATAATGCAAATTATAATAATAACATTAAGAAATAAAAATAAAATATAACAATAAAATTTAAATAAAAACAAAAATAATAATAAAATTTAAACTTTTCAAACAATATATATTAGATCGTTAGATTTTATTTATTACATTATTTAAGTTTTTTAAATTTATATTATATGCATCATTAGATTTAAAGTACATGATAAATTAGATACATATCTCTAAATGATTTAAATAGTTTAAATCTTTTTGTAGAGCACTTGTATAAAAAAATCCAATAATTGAAATAAATGATTAAGTCTTTTGATATATAAATACTTTGTGGTCTATTATCTCGACTCGGTTAAAGCTTCGTGCTCGATAACTTGTTATAAAACAAAATGATAACAATAGTAGAATTTAAGAGAAAGATGATAAGAAAATTAATTTACTATAAGATAAAATAATACAAGAGATAACAACTCTAAATAATCTCTCAATCTCTACAAAATGCTTATATATAAACTAATAAACAATTAAGCTTATTTATATGCTTCAAGATTAAAAAGAGAATTGAAATTAACTATAAATTATTAAAAGATGCATAAATTGCATAACCCTTTCAATTTCTTATATTAAATCGTGAATTGAATCATATAAGTAGTAAGAATATAAAATAAATATTCATTATTTCATAATACATAGTATAATAATTAATAATTTTTTTAATCCGTTCAAAAAAATAGCAAAGAAAAAAAGTTTTGGTACAGAGGAATTAATAATTTTGTTTTTAAAAAGGTTAGTTAGTAGTAAATGAAGTGGTTAATTGTGCCGTTGAAAGGTAAGACAAGAGGGGAGTATTGGGAATCGAGCCCTACAGACATGTCTGCCATGTCATCCTTCTCGGGATGGGGCTGGCAGCACGTCTTTTACGGGGCCATCACCACGTTATTCAATTTCGCTCTTGATATTCCTTTTATTTATATTGTTGCCATTTTTTTATTCCAAAATTTTCAATAATAATAATAATAATAAAACATGTTGTTGTAAGATTTGCTAGTCGGATGATTTACATTCAAAATCTAATTCGATTCTAGATAAGAAGAAAAAAAATATCAAAATTGCAGAACTTAATTCGAAAAGAAAAATAAAACTCACAGTGTGAAAGAAATAAATGATTTACATTTTAAAAGTAAGAAAATTATTTCTTCCACCAGTTCCATGCCAATTATTTGAGTAAATTATAAATTAGTTATTTTAGTTTTGAGAAATGAATCAACTAGTCTTTTTTTTTTTTTTTGGTTCAAAAAATAATTATTTAATCATTTGACCACTATTAATTATATTTAATTTAATACTATTTTGTTTTAAAAAAATTTCATCAATCTTTCCATGATATTAATTTATTTTTTTTAAAAAAATAAATTAGAAAAGAATATAAAATGAACATAAATGAATAAATAATTAAATTTTAAAATACTAGGGAGTAATTAATTCGTTTTTCATAACTAGAGGGACTAATTTATAATTCACTTGAATTATTTAAACCTATCACATTGTTTGAATTCATTATATAAATGGACCAAAATCTCTAATTTTACTCTGCTTTCTCTTTTCCAAGTATCATATTAGCTTTAAAACAAAAACATGATTCTATAAATTGAAGAATGAATTTGGCCCCAAACAGCATTAGGAGCTCGTTTAGGTTAGCTTAGTGTTGTTGGGCTTTAGGTATTAAGGGGTCCATTGCAGATATTCTCTCCAAGCCCATACCATAGTCCAGTGGATAAAACCTAGGAGTTCTCAACAAGAAAACCAACCCTTTGTTCTATTGATTCCTGACTTCCTGTGGCTTCGATGTCATCCCACATCAGCCACAAAGACAGACCCATCTAGGCAAGCATCTAATTCAGGAAACTTCAAGATTTGCATTTGTTTGTTTTATCATAAAGGTGTAGGACATGATAAAATTGAAACGACAAATAGCAGAAGTGATCCAGCTTTTGATCTACGGACATTGTTTGCTCAAGCATTTTACCCTTGTCATTCTTTTTACCAGAACCTTGTTTCATCCTTATGATTCCTTCTGGGAAAATTTCTGCAAACAGTGATAGATATTGACATGTCTCGAGAAAAGACAACCTGGAAGGCAATGAATTGAAACAGGATAATGAAGTATTAAAAGAAAAAAATGATATGACCAGAGAAAAATGGACGATTGTAATTTAACAATGTGAATAAACGAAGATTGGAGACTGGCCACTCATGGTTGCATGCATGAATGGACTACAATGTTCTTTCCTCTATCAACAAGGACTCCATTGAAGCTCCAAAAGGGTTGCACTATGTTCACAACATTCATAACAATTGCTTTAACCATTCAACATAAGAAACAAGAAACTGGGTTTCTCTCGTCGGAGGAAGACGAGCATTCACCGATTCATTGCATTCTTTCATTTTTGCTTTCCATTACATTTTTTGCATAGCATCGTTGCTGAAACACTTGGTTGTTAAGGCAATAAACTGTAAAAGACACTACTACAGTATTTATGAGAAGCATAACTTGTCCAACACCAGGTGCTTTAGAAGAGAGAATGAGGCTACATCACAGGCATCTTCTTTCGGAAATGCCATTCACTTCTCAAGGTGGAAGTGCACAAGTAAAAAGGGTAAAACATAGGGGAACCAGCAGGAAAGCAAGGGAACCACCAGCTGTGGCATTTGAAGTACCCACCGCAGAATCAGAGGTAAGTAGGGTAATCAACAACTGCTTGTTTCAAAATCAACCTTCATGAATTTCTCATTCCTGCAGCCGATTACTTGAACACCTGGGGTCATGATAGCACATCAAGATAGGGATGTTTTGTTGTCGTTACTCGTTAGTGCATTTTGAAAATTGCATGTTTAAAATAAAATAGATTATCTAGAGTCCTTTCAGGGTTTCAGCAATAAACACATCAGGCCAAATTCGAGAGACTAAACTGACTTTATCGCCCTTCATATGTGAAATATACTCTGCTAACTCTGCATAATGTCATGGGGGCATCATGGTCATTAAGTGGTCCTAGCGGTGGATATGATTTGAATAAAGGTATGGAAAAAATCTGGTCCTTATCTATCAAAAGACCCCACCTGGATCCCCAAAACACATGCACCCTTTCCTTTGGTTGCAACTTACAAGACATGGCACTCTTCCACAAGCAAAGATAAGATCACAGAAAAAACGTTCAGCTTTATGCTTCTATAAAAGGACAAGATTGAGTTAGCATATTGCAAAGCATCTTCACTTTCATTCACTCATAGAAATCCTGAAACCCTCTCTCACTCAAAAGAAATGCAGGGTGGTAGCAATTACGATGAAAAGCTGTTACAAAACTATGCGCCACTGTATGTAATGCTCCCAGTTAAGTATCAGAAAGACCTCACTCATTATTAAAGTATCAATCATCATGAACAGCAATCTTATATACAACTAATCGTTTTCTATTTCTTTACAGTTGGGAGTGGTTACAGCGGACAATGTTTTCGAAGGTGGCGAAAAGCTTGAGAAGCAGCTTAAGGATCTAAGAGCAGCTGGGATTGACGGGGTCATGGTTGATGTGTGGTGGGGGATCATAGAAGTCAAGGGGCCTAAGCAGTATGATTGGGGTGCTTATAGGAGTCTGTTTGAGCTTGTTAAAAAATGTGACCTAAAAATACAAGCCATAATGTCATTCCACCAATGTGGTGGGAATGTAGGAGATGTTGTTGACATCCCAATTCCGCAATGGGTACGTGAAGTTGGAGAAACAGACCCTGATATCTTTTACACCAATAGGTCAGGTAACAGAAACAAGGAGTACCTCACACTTGGCGTGGATCATAAGCCTCTCTTTGGTGGACGGACTGCCGTTGAGGTAAGTTGGATGTACAATCCAATCTCTGTACTTCACTGCGTTGGATAGAACACAACAATAACTGATTATCCAAGTGTGTGTGTGTGCGTGCAACCCCAAATCTCATCAAGGTTATTTGCAATTCAAATGATCATGTTTGCATTAGTTCAAGATGATATCCGTAAATTAGCTGTCGTTAATAAAGTTAAGCAATGAGTGCTATTGTTTTCACAACACACACACACACACACAACAGAAAACGTTTTCACTATCACACGACTCAATTCTACGTTATTATAAAATCCCAGATATAAGTTTGATTTGTTTTTTATGCCATTTCAAATAAGTACTTGTTTTCCTGACTTGCAGTAAAGTTGATCGTCATACTCTCAAGAAAGGCTAAATTTTGACCTATTGCAATTAAAGATATCTAAACAAATATCAATTAAATGTTTAAATAAGCAAATGAGCTGGATACTCACCTGAGAGTTCCCATTGATGCAGCCAAGGAGATCAGAGAGCCAAATGCTGTGTCAATAAAATCAGATACTTTTAAGTATGGTTTGTGAATTATTAAACCAGATGAATGCAATTTGGTCAAGCTGATGTTTACATTTAAACCGAAGTCAGTACATGATAGAAGAGATCATGGTTTATTATGATCTTTGATCTTGTTTGATTCCTCGACATTAAAAGAAATTTGTTGATCCATCCAGATTTATAGTGACTATATGAAGAGCTTCAGGGAGAACATGGCAGATTTTCTTGAAGCTGGGCAGATAATAGATATTGAAGTAGGGTGTGGAGCAGCAGGGGAGTTAAGATATCCCTCTTATCCAGAAACTCAGGGGTGGGTTTTTCCCGGCATAGGAGAATTTCAGGTGACACTGATTTTAACACTTTTTTCACAATAAATTATGAATGATAGATTTCATTTGTAAGCTCATGTTCTTCTCTAACACACCTTACCTAATGTTTAACTGTAGTGCTATGATAAATACCTCGAAGCAGAGTTCAAAGAGGCAGCAAAAACTGCAGGCCACCCTGAATGGGAATTGCCAGATGATGCAGGGACATATAATGACAAACCTGACTCAACAGAGTTCTTTAAACCAAATGGGACATACGTAACTGAAAAAGGAAAGTTCTTTTTAACTTGGTATTCCAACAAGTTACTGAAGCATGGTGATGATGTCCTCGACGAAGCCAATAAAGCCTTTGTGGGATGTAAAGTCAAATTAGCAGCTAAAGTATATCTCGTAACCTTGTTACTGTCTTAACTAATTAGTGAAGAAAATAATAAAGCCACATTCTATTTTCAAAACAGGTATCTGGATTGCATTGGTGGTATAAACATCATAGTCATGCTGCCGAGCTTACTGCAGGATACTACAACTTGAAAGATAGAGAAGGCTACCGACCAGCAGCAAGGATGCTATCAAGGCATCATGCAATTATGAATTTCACATGTCTTGAGATGAGGGACTCGGAACAACCTGCAGAAGCTAAAAGTGGACCTCAGGAACTCGTTCAGCAGGTAAGATCTCTAAATCATAGTCCATATTTGGACTGGTTATACAAGTCAGATGCCTATCATCTCCGAAAACCTCTTAATGTCATTGTGAACAAGCTTGATGACTATGATGTAGCAAACTTAAGAAGAATTTGAACAATTTGTGCTGATAGATAAAGGTGCATTGTCACATTTTCATACCGTATTCATGATTAGTTGATCCCATGCATATGCATGTGCAGGTCCTTAGTGGAGCATGGCTAGAGAAGATTGAAATTGCTGGTGAGAATGCACTTTCAAGATATGATGCTGAAGCTTACAATCAGATCCTTCTAAATGCCAGGCCTAATGGCGTCAACAAGTCGGGTCCACCTAAACTGAGGATGTTTGGGGTGACATACCTTCGGTTATATGATGAACTGTTTGAAGAAAAGAATTTCAACCTATTCAAGACTTTTGTGAGGAAAATGCATGCAGATCAAGTAAGTAGCCCCTACCCAAATACATAGAAAAAGCAGAGGAAAGGAAAGAAATGCACATAGTAATGGAATCTTTAGAAGCCCTCATTTAGTCTCAAACTTCCTAATTGTTTTCAGGATTACTGCCCGGACCCCAGCAAATATGGTCATGAAATAGGTCCACTGGAACGGTCAAAGCCAGAGATTCCAATTGATGATCTCATGGATGCAACAAAGCCAATAAAGCCATTCCCATGGAATAAACAAACAGATATGCCGGTTGATGGTTCTGGACAAGCTGGTCTGCTTGGTAGTTTGATAAACGGGATCAAATCCATTTTCTTCAAGTAAGAACATGGCCAAATGTGGAAAGAATAAATGATAGAGAAGGAATCGAATGAACATATATGTTAATGCTAAGGAGGTTTCCTCTAGAACTATGAATGAACTTTTAAACTGTTTGTTGAATAAATAATCCGCATTATCTATATATATGGCTCAAATAAACAATCTTCTTTTGGTTAATGTTCACTCACCAATAATTGCTGCAGTAACAAAATCCGTCTCTAAAACGGTGGAGCCTCCAGGTATCCTGAACAACAAAGCAATTGTTAACATATAAGCTTAGAAATCAGTATTTTTCTGTGTGGCCATCTCCACATACCCAAAGGTTTCTAGTGATTCTTATAATGAATGGTCTCTGGGCGTGCTTCATTGACAGAAAACGCAATGGCCAATTTCTTAAATGCTATCAAAAGCATCTTAACGTTTACTTCTCCAACGTTCTTGAGCTGCTGTTAAGTTCTCTTACTTACCACACCTGTTTCCTCTCTATTCATTTGATTTATGTCCAACTGAGAACCGGTAATTTTCTTATTGGACTGAACTAAAGCTGCAGCCTAGTGGTTTTATTTTGTCCCTTCTCTCTTCCCATGGCTCTAACCCTTTCTGCATCATCTCATCTTTTCTCAGAAGCATCCATGTGTATCGGCCAACGTAGCTAACCACATGTTTTAAATTCGTACGAAAAAGTTTTTGTGCAGAAATCTCAGCTTGCTGTACATTCTGATGTAGTTGACAAGCACTCAGGAGTGCAGCCCATAAATCAGCGATGAGAGTGACTTCCGTGTTCATGATAAAAGGTCGTATGCCTCCTCTTGTGGCCCTGACAGAACTGAAGTAACAACATCCTCCTCTGGAATAATATTTTCTTTAATCATTTCATGAAAACAGAGATAGCCCTCTTCCCCTCCCATGAACACCGTATCCAGAAATCATGGCACTCCAAGAATATCATCAAAGGTTACTTGATCAGCCTCCAAACCCTTTCTTTACAAGATACAAGTGGACACATATACCAAATCGCAAGGCTGTGACCTGAAGAAATTCTCCAAGCACAGTTAAAGGTTACTTGATCAGCCTCCACTCTTTAAGAAACCGTTCAACAAAAAATCGTTAAGCTCTCCGAAGCATCTTCTTTCTCTACATAACCAGCGAACATAGAATTCCACGACACAGTATCCTTCCATGCCATTTTCTCAAACAACCTTCTAGCATTGTCCATAGAATTACAGTTACAATACATTTCAATGAGAGAATTATTCAAAAATTCATTAGAAAGTTCATAGCTTTTTCGAACAACATAACCAAGAACTTCTTTCGCTAGCTGCACTGCCACTAACTGAGCACAAGCTGAAAGTACACCAAGCAAAGTATTCCCATCAGGAAACACTCCATCTTCCCTCATTATATAAAAAACCCTCAAATCCTCTTCCGCTTCACCATTCTTCACATAACCCGAAATCACAGTATTCCAAGAAGTTAAATCTCTCACAGGCACTCTATCAAACACCGCACATGCCAACACCATATCTCCACACTGTTTAGCTACAAGTGAATTACCCACGTAAATATCTTGACACAAACCCACTAACCACAACCTCAAAACGAACTCCTCTCCCAATTTCAACATCAATCAAATCACCACAAGCCTTAAGAACAAAAGGATATGTAAAGTTATCACTATTGTGCCCAAACCACAACATTTCCCCTGTGCAAAACAAGAGCTTTCATCGAAAACCCATCACAAGAAGCATACCCTCTAATCATAAAATTGCACGAGAATGAATTTTTTTAAAAACAACCCCATCAACTTTGGTGCTCAAGTGACGAAAAAGTGAAGAAGAAAAAATGGAGATGCGGGGTATCGATCCCCGTACCTCTCGCATGCTAAGCGAGCGCTCTACCATCTGAGCTACATCCCCGTTGTTGCCTGTTCGTTCGGTCATTAAATAAAGTTAAATTACAATCAGCACCAAGTAGTATTCACCTCCAATATGTTTCTTAATGAAAATTTGGTACCCGAAAAATAATTGGCTCAAATTTTGTCATTAAAAGTTTGCAATTACAATACTATTTGAGAAAGATTGATCCAGTATCCGTTGAATCGAGTATTTCATTATCTAAAATTTTATTCACCCTGAATTATCCTTTGGGTAAAATTTAATAAGTATTATTATTTAGGTTGAAAATAAATAATCTTGAGACTTACTTTCTTCCCTCGCGACATCCCTGTATAGTTGGTTAAAGACCAGTTTTTTCGAATGGATTGAGCGGTTAATGGTTATGGACTGGATTGAATCAAATTGCTAGCCCTATTAAATGGATGTGGTAGATTGCTAACTTGTGAAATCCTACATCTTGCAGGTAGCAAGTTGCAATATAACGTAAAATACAAGAGCAGAATTGCATGTTTCCCTTAAAAGGTCACTGTTTTCACCTAATGGTCTTTAGGGATGGTTTTCTTTCCGTTCTTTGGGACAATGGAGTCGGAGCTCTTTGGGAATTCAAGCTTAATAAATGGCGATGCCAGTTGCTTCTGATGATGTATTGTGTGTTCTTGCATCTGGGTCTCCCTTGTTTGCCACAATGGGCTAAGCTTCCCCACTTTTTACAGGTAAAGAAAAGTTGCACCCTTTGCTTTCTTTTTAAACGAAGATATCTTGTCGCCTGGAAAAATTTTTTATCACACAATCTTCTGTTGTGATTAATGGTTCTCATTGTGTTTTTTGATAAATCCCATATGAAATAACAGTTTCTTATTTTGCTTTGATCACTGAATATAGTAAATAAATTATAGACACCTTAATGGTTATTGGCTAAAACTTTTGATAGAAGGTAGAGATGGAGTTTTTTTGGGTCCCTGAAACTTTATGTAATATGATCAGTGGACTTTGCTATTATGATGAATGCTAATTGTTTGTGGAGCAAATTGGTAATGTATTCAACTTGTGCACTGGTAGAACGAAAGAAGTTGGCTCAAGTTCTTTGGCAAGTGAGCTACTTTTTATTAGGGATCAAAATTCGGGCTTAGATTATAGAATCTCTGATTTTAAGCATCATTTGTAATTGTTGATAGTGCTTTTAAGGTGTTTAGACTTACAATTTTCTCAGCCTGTTTCCACTTTTCTGGTATTATTCTTCTTGTTGCTTGAAAAGGTTATCATATGGAGAAAATAATCACTGGAAATCTGTATTCTCTCATCTATGCATGTAGTGAAACTTTGTGCTTTTGCCTTTCGAAATTGTAAGATATCTTGATTAAAGAATACAAAGGATATGTAGGAGCTGAATTTGCCTATCCTCCTAGCATCTACCTCAGGTGCCATTCGGTGGATATAATACTCAAAGTTGATGGTCTATAAAAAGAACCAGGAAAAAAAAAGAACGAAAGAAAAAGAGATTCGTTTGACCTTCGCAGTTTAAATAAATATCTACTCATTATCCTTTGATGATTCAGGTGGTCTACTTAGTTTACAGAAATCATGTATTAGGACTTGATGATTGTTGAATTTAAAGTGCATGCAATCTATATGCTGTGAATGAAATGCTGAAGTATTTCCCAGCAAGTTAATCTTGAGACTCATGCATCTTCCGGAATTTTATAATTTTCTGCCATGCAATACAAGTTGTTCCTAATTTAGATACTTGGTTGGACATTGGTTAGTGCATCTGAGCATTTTTGCATATGACTTTTCCACCAATTTGCCGTTTTTTAAAATTTTTAGTAATTATATCTGCCAGTTCTTTTCTAAACGAACATTGTTTCTAGCCCTCTAGGAAGTCCTTTATTTTATTCTTTAATATAACTAAAATTTTTTATAAATTACATTGTACACAGAATGTATCCTTTCAAGTGGCCCTAATTCTACCGAGCCTCTGCACCCAATCTATTCAAGCTTGTTCTGTTGTGTGGATTCTAAATTTAGAGCCGTTGCATTAATTTTGGGGTTGGTGTAATTAATACAAACATATCTGCGTTTTCTTACACCCAAAGAAAAATGCTTGCGATAAAGATGGTAATTTGGACATTTGTCACATTTCCATTGCTCATATCCCCGTATTTGCAATCCCAGAGATTTAGTTCATTCTCATCTTCTACTGTTATATATCTCAGAGTAGCCTAGGATAAATTATTTTCCTTCTTCAGTTTCTTCTGTAATTATACTCGCCATGGCTCGGAACAAGCTTCCATTGAAGAAAATTGATAATCCCTACCGTCGTAATATAACATATTCAAAACGTAAGGCTGGGATTATCAAGAAAGCCACTGAATTATCTGTGCTATGCGGTGCAGATGTTGGTGTTTTGATGTTTTCTCCTAATGGTAGATTGACTAGCTTTGCTAGCAATGGAAGGTGGATATGAAATTATTTAGTTCAGAACAATCTAGATTCATGTTTTCTGTTTATTCTACTGTGATTTCCCATGTAAATAATTTTGATAGTCTTTAAATTATTCTGTAGGATTGAAGACATCTTTCTTCGCTATCTTGACCAGGCCAATGTACCAGAAGTGGGGTGTGTCTTACATTATCTTTCTCTTGATTCTTTGATTTAGATTTACACATGCTTAAACTTTTTACTGAAAAATTATCAATTTCTTTTTATTAATCGTTTGTTCTATTCACAATATTTATTTTAATGTGCAGACCAGTTGAAAAGGAGGAGGTAAGATCTCTTTCTCTCTCTCAGTATACTTTCTTATGTTTGGGCCTCTGTCTGTGTATACGTATAAGTTGTGCTTGTTTTTGTGTTTGAGATCTTATTCTTATTCTTATTCTTATTCTTATTCTTATTAATTTTTTTAGGAGTTTTTGAGATCTTGATTTGCCATAATTTGTACTTTCAGTGTTTGCACCAAAATCTGAAGCGCTTGAAATATGAACGACAGATGCTAGCTAAAATAGAAAAGTTTGAATCTCTCTCTCTCTCTCTCTCTCTAAACACGCATACATGTGCACACTCACACAGTCACACTCACTCATAGACCATATACACAGAAACATAAGAGTTCCATTTGTGAGAACTTTCCCTGATGAGAATTCTTTGTTTTGTCATATGGATGCTTCACTGACTGGTCATGGCAAACAAACTCAGGATAGAGGTAACTTTTTGGAACACATTTTTCTAGAGTGCATTCCTACAAGACTCTACTTGAAATATGGTATAAATTTTTTATTTTATTTTTGGAACTGTTTATTTATGGCTTCATAGGCTCTTCAGAAGAAACTATGTGAACTCGATCCGAAACTGCTTGAGAAACAAGAAAAGATGAGGTTCGTATCTTTTCTTTAATTTTTTTTGCACAGTTAACCTAGACTGTAATGTAGATCCTCATATTGCTCCCATTTTTCATTTTTATATGTGAATAAGTAATATGATAATTCAATAATACAAGTCATTTTTTTCCTCTCATCATATACAATGCCGCATTATTTTTTATTAGATATATAAACAGGTCTTACAATCCGGATTTGGTGAAGATCAACTCAGTTCATGATGCCAATGTGTATCACCAATTTCTTATGGATGCAATTCGAAATATACAACAGCTGAAAGTGAGTACACATTTCCCCTGTCAATTATATAATCCCATTTTTGCTTTATTAAAACTAGGTTCGTTATTCTTCTTCTTAGATGGAGATTTTGCTTGGTGAACATATGGAGCTCCAAAAGTCTGAGAGTATTCAGGTAATTTGAGAGGGAGAATAGCAGGGGCAGGAGAAATAGGGAACGCAAATGGGATAATTGTTATAAAAGCTTCTGCATTCCTTATCTTGCATTACTTTTTTTGATTGTTGCCTAATCTATGTTGTTTCATTCTGTATTTTTGTTTGTAGGTGCCTCCTGCTGCTACCAGGAATGGTCATTTGACTGCTGAAGGGCTGGTGGATTCCAATGGAAACAGGTAATTCTTGGTCTTGATTTCTTAACTTACTTAAAATTCGGTAGCTTTGGACTGTTGATGGGCACATTTGAGCATTGGGTCATGCATGTTATGTTAACTCCTCCTTCGTAAACCATATCAAGAATGAATTAGAAAGAGAAGAGAATATTACACAAATTATCATCTGTAACTTAAATTCTTGCAATTTTGTTTTATGTAGGAATCCACCAGAGGATGAACATCAACCTAAAGAGGCACGCTTGCCTGTTGGTCCACACCTAAGCCTTGAGTACCTGAGAACGCAGAAGCACTGGGACCTTCAAAGTGGTGGGCAGAGCAAAGCCTGAGATTAAACAGCAAATGAGAAGAGTTTTATTCTAAAGGCCCTTCTTACAAGTTTTATCATTGCTTATATTAATAAGATTATCAGCTTCTGTAGCATACCATGAAATGGGATTTTGCAGAAGTTGTAGCATTTGTGTTTTCCTTATGAACTTCGGAGTTTAATCTTGTTTGAAGTTTGGAACTCAGGTAATGTTGGATCTTGCATGTTGCAAGTTATATGGATTTATCTTTGCTTTGTGCATGAGTTTCAGTTTTGTGATAAATGTGTCATTTTCATAGAAGATGGCAGCAGTGATGGGAATTTAAGAAACAACAGCCTAAAAACATGCTGACTAGAATTATGCTAATCTTACTGAAAGACTCTTCCTAGAAAATTTCAACCATTGGATTTATGAGATCCACAAGTAGGAAGTATATTTGGTAAAATTAGCCTTACTTTGTTAATTCTTTTAAGTATTGACTTCTATCTCTATTTAGCAATCAAGATAGATTCCATTATTAAAGACCTATAAAGATAGTTTACAAGGTTCTGTAAGTCCTTCCATCTTAGCATAATTTAGTAATTTTATTGTTATTCGTTGAAAACTTGGAGTTAGAGAATTCTATGAACATTTCAGAGGAATTGCCTTTGCTAAAACCTCATTTAACTGGATGTTCGGAATATCATGTTCGTCGGCCAGCTATTTCGAACAGCCTGAAAACGGCCGGATATTCAAACATCTCTAGCTCCTGAGCTTGACCCCTATCATTATGCATTTATTTACAGTTTGCTGCAACTTTCTATAATTTGTAGTATCTGCACACCAGGACACCTTCATAGCATGCGCACGTCGCCTGTATTCGTTTTTTCCCCTCTTTTCTTTTTCTTTTTCTTTTTTTTTTTTTGGAGAATTTGTGTAGTTGAATCTATCTATATATGTTGTATATATCTATTGCTATTGTTAATATTGCTTGTCTTTTACAGTTCCTCTGTTTTTGCTATTGATTCCTATGATTTGCTTAACTTTCCAAAACCCAATAATGGAGGTTATTATTAGATTTAATGGCTAATTTTATCCCTAAACTAAAAGGATTGTGGCAAAATAAGGTCAGAGCTATCAATTTGGTCTACTTTGTCCTCAAACTATTATTTTTTTTAGCAAATTATATACATATATATATTTATCTGATTGAACTATTAAGATTGATGGTTAAACTTCATCATTAACTAAAACGTTCAATACAAAGTTGTTTTTTATTTTTTTATTTTTAACACAACTATTTAAAAAAATTAAAAAAAAAAAAAGCAAACTCAATCATTCATAAAACCTCAATTTAAAAGTTGAAACATATGCAAAGAGGTTTTAATAATTTTAAAAAATTACACAAAGAGGGTTTTTTTTTTTTTTTTTTTTTTTTTTTTTTTTTTGTATTGAGTTTTTCAGTTAACGGTTGACAATTAGTCTTAATGGTTCAACATGATGGAAGGACATGATTTGTCAAAAAAAAAACTAATAGTTTGAGGATAAAATAGACCAAATTGATAGTCCATACCTCATTTTCCTACAACTCTAATAGTTTAAGGGTGAAATATGCCATTAAACTCTATTATTACAATATAGCGCATAATACTTATTTTCCATTAATAGCAGAGTCTATATCCAACAAAATATCTTGAAGATTTTATCATGCCATACCACCCCCAGTAATTCCAGAGGAGCTTACTGAATTCATTCTTTTTAAAATAAGAAACCTTTCACTCTAATTTGTGTTTGTTTGCTGCTTGTGCCTTCTAGTTACATCAATGAGGCATAGTCTCATGATGGTCACACCTCTTCTTGAAAGAGAAGATCCCAACTGCAAATTTTTCTCCTTTTTGAATCATGGATTTATGGAATCAAATTAGCTTAGAATTGGAGATTTAGAACCAAATTAAGAGTAAAATCTCTACTATAAAAGGAATGAAATTAAAATTTCCCCAATAAAGATTAATTATCCTCGTAAAAACAATCTCAAATTTTATTCTTGAAAGAAAATTAATGGGTTATTTTAAAAATAAATAATAAATCCAAAAAAATTGATTTGAGTGAAAAAAGCTCTAGTGGTTAATTATCCTTGTAAAAACAATCTCAAATTTTATTCCTAAAAGAAAATTAATGAGTTATTTTAAAAATAACTAATAAATCTTAAAAAAGTTGATTTGAGTGGAAATAACTCTAGTCGTTTAACCAAGTGATCTAGTGTTTGAATCTTTATGTATAAAAAAAAACTCTTTAAATAACTCTGTCTATCTTGTACATCTGATTGAACAACAAGAGATTAGTCTAGCGTTTGCCTTGGAATACTTTGGAAATCCAAAAGAAAAAAGGTAACTAATAAATTATAGAAAATCATCAAACTATAAAAAAGGAATTAAAAAGGCTAAAAAAAGATGTCCCACTTTGTTATCCTCACGTCCTTAAACGCGTCAACTCTTTCTCCCCTCCCCCGAAAAACATGAAACATTCGAATGAACAAAATCCTAGCAGAAAAATCAACAAAAACCTATCCTAAAATCTTTCGTGTCTTTTTCTTTTTCCTTATTTTTTTTACAATTTTTTATGATCCAAAATCATTAATTCCTTTTTCCACATCCATTTTTGATACATTCATGTTATTGTGGCTCTTCATTCTTTACAACAAAAGATTTTTCCTACCATGGACATCAAGTTTTGACACTAACGTTGTTGTTGTTCTTGTTCTAATCTGATTTGAGTTATTAAGATTGAGAAACAACATATAGTTACAGGGTTATTTTCAAAGTTAATCCAGAAAAGATTTTTTGGCAGATAAAAAGGGCCACAGCAATCCGCTTTCTGCAGGGTGGCGTATCATATATGCCATATTTTGAAGAACAAAATCTAATGTTTTCTGCCTTTGGTTTGCATTAGTATCCGATGAAATGAAAAGGGTAACATGTGAATGGAGTGGTGATCTAAGAGGAAATGGAATTGAGAAGACTGAGAGCTGGTTATGCAATTGTTTATGTGATTCTGCTTTGTGCATTGGCAATGGGGAGTATAGAAGGCAAAAGGAGAGCAGATATGCTTTTCAGCAATTATGGTCCTCAGCTAGAGGAAAAAATGGTATGCTGGTCTTTTTCCTTTTTTGTGTCTGAAAAATGTTTGATGTTCCTCTTTTTCTTAGTTGTTCCATGATTAAAGATGGTGGATGGCAAATTATATGGCCTCGAAATTCACTCTTCTGTAGTATGTTGATTTTAACTGGTATAGATTGCAATTTTATGTTTTGGTTCCATGGTTCAGAAGCAGATTGTTGCAAACGTGCTTGTAGTGGCAGGATAAAAGGTGCTTTTAGGAAGAGGTGAAACTGAGGATTGAACATGGAACATTTGGTTCCATTGTCTTAACATAGGATTGAGTTCTTGCTAGTGGAATTTAATGAAATGCTATATTTACAGGCAGAGCAAGAATGGATTCATTGCTGGAAGGAATTGATAGATAGGAGAGGTTCTTTCAAAGATTTCGATTTATATATGCTGCAGGAAGCTACTTTTGACTGGAAATCAATATTGCTCACCAAAGAAAACTTCCACAGATTCATGTGTGTTCTGTCACCACAAATGAAACAAGAACTTTTGGATTATTGCTCAAGAGAGAAAAATCTTAACTTTCCTTACAATGGAGATAGTTCTAGGTTCATCAAGTGTGTTAAGTTGCTTTTAGATTTGTGTAATAGTCATAGAAGATATCTAGCTAGCAATACTCATCGACGAACAAGTCCAAGCCTTTCTCCATCAGCACCTGCAGCAGCAACCCCAGGTTATGGTCCAGCACCATTCAATCTAGCAGCTGTCAGCTCTTCATCTCCAAGGAGACTGACCCTTTCGTTCTTACAAAAGAAATTGCATCGCCGAGAAGATATAAGTGATTCACCTCCTCCACCTCCACCACCAAGAAAACGTTCCCCACCGAGTTCACATCGTAAACATGTTCCTCCACCTCCAGTGCATAAGGGCATTGATCAGGATCTTGTTGTTCCTGTTGCTGCAACTGCAGCAGGAACATTTTGTTTTGTTGCGATGCTCTTCTTTTGCTGGTGCTGTTGTAGGGGTGGTGGCAACAAAATTGGCCCTGGAGGTGGAAAAAGAGATGAGAGGCCTCTTCTGCGCTTCAATTTGTCTAATTGTAAGCATTTTCAGGACCCTGTCTTGTCATTGATTCATTATACTAATTATCTTCTGAAGAATGCACTAGTGATGATTCAACTTTATCTTTTCTTTCAGCTACTTCTCAAAGTTCTTTTAGTTTAGGAAATTCCAGTTCCAAAGGCCACGATTCTAATGATGGAAACACTACGTTCCAAAGCAATTTGTCAACGAAACATGGAAATCATGATTCCTCGCTGGCGGAGGCACCATCAGGAGAAGCACTTCCTCATCTAAAACCTCCTCCTGGAAGACCTGCTCCTCCACCTCCTGGACCACCACCACCACCTCCTGCTGCAGCTCCTCGTCCCCCAGCACCTCCAAAAGTTGCTCGCGCTCCACCAGCTCCTCCTCCTAAAGGCAAGATGAAGCCTTCCCCCTCGGACCACATCGTGAGAATCCCAGCAAGGAAGACGATCTTGATGGTGAAGGAGCTCCAAAAGCCAAGTTAAAGCCATTCTTTTGGGATAAGGTTGCAGCCAACCCTGATCACTCAATGGTTTGGAATGAGATCAGTGCCGGTTCATTCCAGTAAGACTCCAAATCCCTCTTTTGGCTCTGCAATCTATTTTTTATAGAATCATCCATTAAACATTTCAACCTTACAGGTTCAATGAGGAGATGATAGAGTCATTATTTGGTTATAATGCTGTGGATAACAACACAAATGATCGCAAGAGAGATCCATCTGAACCTTCAATCCAGTATATTCAGATCATCGATGCAAGGAAAGCGCAAAATCTATCCATTCTTCTACGAGCACTGAATGTGACTACCGAAGAAGTCCTTGATGCTCTACAAGAAGGTGATCTCCATCTCCTTATGGTCACTACCCTCAAGGGGGACAATAACGAGTTTCCATCAGATAATTTCTTCTTTATCGTTACTTTTTTTCTCTTCTTATGTAAACTTTGGTATTTGTTTCAAAAGAAAAAACAAGATTTGGTTTGTGAAGGAGTTATATTATGATTTTGATAACCACCCAGCATTGCTTTTTCACTGACTTGAATATGATAACGTTGATGTGGCCCTTTCAGCTGAGAAAAATGGAAACATAATAAAGTAGGATAATAGGAAAATTAAATGATCAACTGTTAATATCCTTGGGTTTCAGCTTAAAGGAGCCTATAACTTAATTGTTTTCTAATTGAATCAGGTAATGAGCTACCAGTGGAGCTCCTTCAGACCTTGCTGAAGATGGCGCCGACATCAGAAGAGGAGTTGAAGCTTAGGTTATTTCCTGGTGACATCTCTCAGCTGGGTCCAGCAGAGCGTTTCCTAAAAGTCTTGGTCGAAATACCATGTGCTTTCAAACGAATAGAGGCATTGATATTCATGAGTTCTCTACAGGAAGAAGTTTCAGGCCTAAAAGAGTCCTTTGCAACCCTTGAGGTGAGACATCAGATGTACTGATTGTCATAATGCATAGCATGTTTCGAACAGTTCTCATAGATTACCCATCTCTGTTTTCTAAAGACATGCATGGTTAGTCGAGTCAAGGTTCAGTTACTCTTTTGTTGTCCTAATGTAGCTGAGAGCATAGTAGTTTTCTCCTGGGATCCTGTATAAGCCTAATAAACTATACCAATGCAAATGACAGGTTGCTTGCAACAAACTAAGAAGCAGCAGGCTATTTCTGAAACTCCTAGAAGCAGTTCTTAAAACTGGTAATCGAATGAATGATGGTACATACCGTGGTGGTGCACAGGCATTCAAACTCGACACACTCTTGAAACTCGCTGATGTCAAGGGAATAGATGGCAAGACTACACTCTTGCACTTTGTTGTTCAGGAGATATTTCGTTCGGAAGGCATCCGTGCTGTCCGAACAGCAAGACCTAGCCAGAGCTTCTCCAGTGTGAAGTCAGATGATTACATTGGCAATTCTAACCCAGCATCAGTGGAGCACTATCGAAAACTTGGTCTAAATGTGGTATCAGGTTTAAGCACTGAACTTGAAGACGTAAAGAAGGCAGCGGTCATAGATGCTGATGTCTTAACATCTACAGTGTCCAAACTTAGGCAATCATTGACAAAAACCAAAGCTTTCCTCGACTCTGATTTGAAGAGTTTGGGAGAAGACAGTGAATTCTATTATGCGCTGGCTAGCTTTTTGGAGCGTGCAGAGTCTGAAATCTCAAGCATGTCCGAAGAAGAAAAGAGGATAACAGCTCTGGTGAAGAGTACAGCAGATTACTTTCATGGGAATGCTGGAAGGGATGAAGGTTTGCGTTTGTTCACAATTGTTCGCGATTTCTTGATAATGTTAGATAAGGTATGTAAAGAGTTAAGAGATGACAGAGCAACAAGGCCAAAAACGACATCCAAAAAAGAGATTCCGGTAGTGACAGCAACAAATAGTCAGAAATCTGAAAATGCAATTCAGAAACTATTTCCAGCCATTGTTGGAAGGCGAACTGATGATTCCAGTTCAGACGATGACAGTCCATCCCCTTAGCCTTCCTTATAAGTTTCTATCGTCGCTGGAACTTGTTCAGGTGGCATGGAATTTTCGGAGGCATGACAGACTGGATTTTGCGGACTTTGCAGAACTATTCCTTACCTCTGTCCAGTCCGCAGCAGCACATAACCTTGAGATTCCTCCTCGAATGTTTTCTGAATGAATGCTATAGGTTTATGGAAGTTTTTGATCTTAGAAACAGGATTGATTTCGAGGTCACGACCTTGCGTCATCCAAATCTGTCTTCGAAGTCACAACATTTCTTCTGCACAGCTGATGGAGTATTCCAGTAGTTAATGCCTTGTTTCTGTAAAATTATATTCATTCAATTCCTAGTTTTTGATGATTGTTATCTCCCACCAGGCTCAACTTCTTGATCAATATATAGGAAGTTTAGTCTTTCTTATCTCAAGAATTTTTCTTTAAGCTATTGAATTCTTTCTCTGATATCACACAGAATTATCCCACTGAACAGACCTGGAGAAAATCTTCCAATGCGGTAAGATTCTTTACCGTATTATTCTTTTCTTCTATTTGAAATTTACTTGTACCCAAATCGAAGGAAAGAAGTTGGAGAAGGTTGTTTGTTACAGTTTGCTGAGCAGCCACACAGGTATTGTTTTCTTGTCCTCGTGGTTAATATCTTTTACTTCGAATCAGTTAAGAGTATTTTTCTTCAAGACAGACTGGTTTTTGACAGAATTAAGGATGCCTTTTTTATTTAATTTTGTAACTTCGCAAATGTGTCTGATAACAAGTAGAGAACAACACTCTCTTCTCTTATCATTTATCAATAGGCTACAAGAAGTGCAATTGGCTAATTCTGCATTGGAAACCAAGAAGACACAACGAAGGTTCACCAAATTCCTAAGACTTTAACTCGCTTTTCAGATTCTGACCATCATTTTGTAGTTTGTGTTAGAAACTCAGCCTTCGTATTCCTCTCTTAGACACCAAATTACATTTATATCTTTACATAATTGTCTCGGTCACCATTATAATGTTTTTATTTTTCTAATTGCATATGTTATGTTTCATGATAATGTTTAAATTTTCAACATGTTTTTTCAATCAATTTTTTTGATCTTGAACAAATGTTTTGAATTGAAATTTTTTTTTAAAAAAAAAAATCTAAAGACTTAAAAAACTGAAACATGCATGTCATGAGATTTTACAAAGTTTTTTTTTAACCGATGGGTCAAATTCTCTCCAAATCAAAGTTATTTGGTAATGGCACTTGCAAGCTTTTAAACCATTAAGAGAATTAAATAACTTTTTTAGAAGCTGCGGAGTAAAATAGCTTAAATTAATCAAGAAATAAAAGTGGTTGATTCTAAGTTTGAAATGTCCACAATAGTTTGGAGTCTGTACATGTTTTGAAAGCAAATCCTCCAATTTCATTGTACCAAAAAAAGGGCACTCCTCTTTCTCAATCAAAAGTTTCAATTTAAATCTTTATTTTATATTTTTTTTAAATAAAAAGTGATCGTTTGTTTAAAATTTATCATTCAATTATTTAAACATAAAAAAATTTTCAAGTTCAACAACACATGTTATTATCTCACACATTTAACTCTACAATCATTAAAAATAAAACTCCCAAGAATTCCATTAATTATAAAATTTTCTACTCCATTTTATAATGTTCAAAATAATAAAATTAATCCTGCATCTTCAAAATTCTGAATATATATAAACTTTTTGTAACGAAAACAAAACAAATAAAAAAATATTTTTGAGCAATTATAACCTATCCCTAGTTACATTATAGAAGAAACTAAACAAGATGGTTACTTACTCATAGAGTGTTTAACCAAACTCAGGGGACTATGGCCGATAACTTAGTGTTATTGTGCTTAACCCATTGATCATCTCTACACCATTTGATCCTCAAGTTCTACTTGTTGTCACACTCGTAACACCCTCAACCTAAGAACTCATAGGTTGATAATATTATCATTGTCGACCTATATTCGAAGTGCAATAAATGTAAGCCAACAAGGCACTATGTCTAGCTTATAACCTTACTAATATAGATTGCGCTGCGAAAACATATAAATGATGAATAGGTCCTATGTTTCAGTTCAAAATGCACTATAAATTTTTTTTCACGTTTTGTTATTTTATTTAGAACGCTTGGACTAATTGGACTAGATCTATGATGTTCAGCTTTTCCAAATTTCTTTTCTATTAATTTATAGGAATTTATTTATTAACTACTCGTTATTCGAGACTTGATTTCTTTTATCCATCTTAGCTACTATTCAATGATATTATTTCCCCTAATTAATTTAATAATTAGAATTTATTAATTGGCATTAACATAAAAAGAGCTAACTAAAAGAAACTAATACTAACTATAACTAAGTCATTTCATTAATATTATTTCATTTCAAGTTCTAGTTACATACAATTATAATTATTTTCATATAAGACAACTTAATGTCATATACCACAAAAATTACTTATTCACTTATTTACATTACATCACCATTTACTTCATTACTTGTTATAGCTTTAACTACCGCATAAAATAAACTTATCATACCTAGTACGTAAACCACAATATCGAGTACTAAGACAATGGGTACTTGAAGTAGGTCTACTTTATCGTCAAAGCCACATCCAAAATACACAAGGCGCACGGATCCCTCGATAATCAATTCAGCGAGTGAACATTGCCATTTTTACATGTAATGTCTATACTACAATAAACTAAATGAGCAACAATCGAGTAAGTTAATCGATGCATAATGTGCATGTAAGTGAAATGCATATGATAAATTATATGCATATCTTTTGAAAATCCTTTCTCATGCCATAAAATCCTCATCATAAATCATTTTGAAATTTTTTTCTATCTTTGAACATGTCCCATTGTATGAACTTCGTGGTTTTTCATGAATTGTTTAGCAAACCGGACTAGTTTGCGGATGTGTCCTGTTGAGTCTTAGCGCATGTCCGCATCACTCGACCCATGTAAACCATGAATCATGAAGGTCATAGAACCCATGATGCCCTTTCATAAAACCATAAAAACTATCATCATAAAAGTCATGAAAACCAAATAACCATAAATGCTTCCAATTGCTATCGAAAAATTCTTGACATAAAATCCTATGTTTCATAAATTTAAACCATTTTCATAAACTTGACATATTCATGTATATAATGCAAGTGCATTATGATTATGAATTATGCTTTACATGCCGGATGAAATGCAATATATAATGTAAAATTTAATTTTAATGATGTATTTTAGAAAATTATAAATATGCATCATCATAAGTATCTTCCCTCATAAATCATGATCAAACAGTCATGATTCATATTCCAATCACAATATCATCACCATAAGGTACAATAGCAACCCACATTTCAACATATGATTGAATAACTATAGATATTCAAACATTATGTAAAGTTTTCATAGACAAATGTAATCATACATAAGCATCCCGATTCATATTTCAAGCACACACATCATATCAAAATCATCATGGAACCATCAATTGCACAATTACATATTAAATTACTTCAAAAACCCTAATTTGGGCCTAATGGGTCGGAAACCTTATTAAGGTAAACTAGGGTGCTTTTTCATTTTTAACAAAAATTTTCATACTAACTCATCTTTTTAAGCTATTCTAAACTAAAATTAATCAATTAAACACTTAGGAATCAAAGCCATACAAACCCTAATTTCTTTCCTACTTGGGTTGAATATGGGCCTAAGGAAATTAGGTCCAATTTCCAACTTCTTATGCAATTTCTCACTTCTAATCATTCATTCAAACTTAAAAAAAAAAAAAACCATAATTAATTAATACAACACCAAACAAATCAAAATACCAAAAACCCTCAAATTCTCTCATTTGGCCGAATGCTTTCTCTCTTCGAGATTTTGATTTTTTTTCCCTCAATTTTAAGCGTAATTAACATATTTAGACTTTAATTCATAAATTTATGGCTCAAAATCATTTTTCTTAAATTAACATAACTAAGAACCCTAACATTAATTTTTATAATTAATTCAATTAAGTTTAAATTGAAGCATCAAATACAAAATTAACATGCAATTAAAACTTTCTACTCGGTGTAGGTGAGATTAAATTACCTAAAAAAGCTATAATTTACCCTTGAAAAGTTGAATTATGTTGGACATTCTTCTTTCCCTTTTTCACCCTACATTTCAGCCAAGCTCCTTTAGATTTCTCCTCGGAATTTTTAAGCCTCAAACTTGAAATTTGAATTAATTAGGTGATTTAGGATGTCTAAAAAAGGTTGGAAGTGATTTGGGTGGAAGTTGGATGGAAATTTGGCAAGAGTTTGCCTTGTATTGTTTTATTTTCCTCGAATTTTTCCACTTTTCTTGCACCCGTATTTATAGGCTAAATTGGTGGACTTTTGAATTAATTTCCATCCTAAATTTGGTGTGATCTTGTCCCCCGATTCTTCTTTTAATCTTCTACCTTCATTTAGTTTAATCCTAGTATTTTATTCTTATTTTAATTTTATACCTCCATGTACTTAATCCTAGCCACCCAATTAACCAAGAGTCAAAATTATTTAATGCATTAAGTTGGGGAAAAAAGGAGAAAAAATCTCTCCCAAAATTGCTCCAATTTGGTCCCTCAAATTCTAGAATTTTTTAAATTTTATCCTTCCATAAGCCCTCTAATTAAATAATTGACTAATTGAGGATCTTAATATAAACCTTTCTAAATATTTTAAAATCCCTAAAATTTAATTTGGATTCTATTGAAGAATTAAGATTTTCAATTTTATTCAATTGGGTCTCAATTTAATGCAAGGTCCCTCCATGCCTAATTTTTATTCCACCCTTTTTAAATTATTAATTTCTTTCAAAATATATTTATAAATCTTCTAAAATAATTTATTCAACATTCAAATGATTTTTTTTTACACTCATATAAACCCTTTAGTTAATATTTTTTTTTTTTTTTTTTTTGTAAAAAGTCACTAATTCCTATGGA